ATGAGATCAGACCATTCTCTAAGAGCAGTCGGGAAAAAGGACAACCGAAAAAAAGAACTTTTATCTGCATAATCATATAGTTTAGGCACCCTGTCTCATCTTAAGCTGTACTTTGTTTTCTTTACCTCTACGTATCTAACACGCTGAGCATTTATTCTAACTAAACTAAAAATTGACCCTTGGTTTCCTTTTTAACATATTTTAGCGTGTAATAGAAGAGTATTCAACATCACGGATAGAAATATGGCCACCACCACCAGTCGCAACCATAACAAAAGCTCGCCGTCGTTCTGTCAAAGCAAAACGTCCATCTCAGTCTCATTTTGAAGTGTCAAAATCCAAACGACGTACTCCTGTGAAATCTGTTGGAAAAAATTCAGCCATTACAGTTTCAATTATAACCACTCCAAAACGTTCTGATAATAGTCCAAAAAGAAAATTATTGTAAGAAGTCCCTAATTTTCTCTCTACGTAAACAAACTAAATGAGACGAATTATTTTAGCTCATCTCCAGTAACGAATGAACGAGATGATACATCTAGTCGATCCTCAACGACAGTTCAAGAAGACAATGATGACGATGATGATTTAACCATTCGTTCAGATAACGATGATATCATCTGTGGTTCAGATGTACTTGACGAAAATAATGAGGTAACAGATGATTGCTCAGGAGAAGAGTGGTGGCCTCCATCGATGAATAATGATGATACACCTGAAATTGGTACACATGTTTTTGCTAAATGGACTGATTCTCATTTTTACCCTGGTATTGTGAGCGATGTTATGGGCAATAAGTAAGTCTTTTTTCCTATCAATTTTTCCTATTCATTAATCGTACTCCAATGTTTATTATAGATTTTCAATTGAATTCGATGATGGTGCAAGGCGACAAGTTAAATTAAATGAAATTATTTGTCGAAGTTACCTTGAACCAAATCAGGATGTTATGGCACAAACACAAGATGGATATTTTGATCATGGAGTAATTAAACGACTAGTTAAAAAGAAAAATGGAAAGCTCGGTTATGTTGTTGAAAAGCATGGCCATGAAAAATGGTAAGTGTTATTATAACGGTTTTCTTTAGTCATTGTATCCTTTTCATTTTCGTTTTCAGGTATCCAACGCGTAAGATCATGTTATCAATGGAACAAATTGGCCAATTACCGAATACACCAAGAACGCCTCAAGCAGAAAGTAAGACTCCCAAAAGTCATCTATTTTCTATACAAAAGAATTTTTTGTTTTTTGACAGATGCTGATAATATTACGAGCCAAGGAAAACGCAAACGGACATCGTCTGCAACGCAAAGTTCAATAAACAAGAAATCAAAATCTTCATTATCGCCGAAACGAGCTGGTAAAGTAATTAACTGTTTATTTAATATTTTATTTGTTTTAACGTATTGTGTTTTTCGATCTTTTGAGTTTATACACCACCTCGATCAAAAAAGCTATTTAATAATATGCACTTCATCATGACCGGATTCAGCGGTAATTTATAACACAAAGATAATTTCTCTCTGATTGAACATGTCTTTGAAAAAAGTTTACTTTCTAGATTTTTTACCATTACGTGAGAAAATAAAAAAATTAATTGAAAATCATTCAGGAAAAGTGATCGAACATTTGCCTAGTTCGGTAAGACTAACAATAGAACATATTACAAATGTAACTGTGAAATTCGAATGAGCTATACGGTGTCTAGTAGAGTCCCATGTACTGATTTCAATGATGACATTTTTAGATGCCATTGAAATATCGTTGCTGAGCTAGTGTCTATTTTTTTCTTGTATAGTCAATAAATACTCAACATTTGGTCGATCACAGTTTTTTGGTAGATATTAGAGCTCCGTATGAGTCCAGTCCAGTTCAGTCTAAAAAGCAGTTTTTTCAGTCCATGAAATCTAAAAAAGTAGTCTATTTCAGTCTACAATACAAAAATAACATGTTTTTTTACTGATTATTCCTCGATTCAACTGAATTCAAAACTTTTTATCGAGTCCAGTCTGAGTCCATGAGCTCAACAAATTTTCAATTCAGTTCATACGGCGCTCTGGTAGATATCCATCGAGACAACTCATGTGATATACAGTTTTGTAGAGAAATTCTTCAACTACAATCTGATTTATTTTGGACTTGGTTTTCTGACTTGTTGTCTTTGAGAAAATTGTGATTAATCGAACATGTGTATTTTTACTATTTAACATAATTATTTTTTGCCTTGGAGGCCGATAGGTATAGATATTTAAAAGTTTTTTAAGCACAACAAATACATAACACAGAATGGAATATACCAGCAGAAAGTATTGCAATTCTCAACAAAAAGGCTTAATAGAAATATGTTGTTGTTTTTGCTCACTTGCATAAAAATAAACGAAACAGTTATGAAAATAATCTAATATGTGCTAGTTTTTCAACGTAACTTAGACGTTGTAGTCAACAGTTGATCGACTGAGGGACAGTGTATTTTTGGAATAATAAAAAAATTTAATCAGACATATTCTACATCTTTGACCGAGAGATATAGAGAATAAAGAATATAATTTGAAATTATTCTCTATTATAGAGTCGCCGTGATAATTGTTATTTGATTAGTGATATGGTACAAAAAACAGAAAAATTTCTTAATGCAACAAAAGCAAATGTACCACGCGTTATGTACAAATGGATTAATGACTCGGTGAATAATGTAAGCTAATTTTTGTTTAAATTCAATACACTTTTAATGACATGCATAAGTACGCAGATGTTAAAAGATTACTTTGTTTTTAGGGTGAACTTTTAGATCACAAATTGTACCATCTGTCACCAGTTCTAGACGTCTCTAATGAATAGATGAAATACACTGTTATCTAATAATTTTTGTTTTTCCATTATCTTTTTTTTTTACTTGTTAAATAAATTGTCTGTATATTGTTATTTTCTTATTGGTAAGAAAATCTATGATATTCTCTAGATTCAAGTTTAGAAAATTTTTTTCTTGTTATTATCTATTATATTTTCACATTTATGTAAGGACTACTATCCATTTCAAATTAAAAGTCATCCCACGAATTTTGGAATAACGTTTGAAAGAAAAGAGATAGAGACATCCGTTTTTTTTTAATTTGAAATAAATAGTAGTTCACTCTCAATTTATTTTTTTATTTTTTGTGTTTTTCTAATCCATTAAATGCAAGAGTTTGTGTATCATGTAGTTTCTCTTTTCTTCTTAATGAAATGTTTTCGCTGGTAGTAACTATAAATTACATTTATGTTAAATTAGCCACTCAAAAGTTTACTGTAAAGTAAAACTAACAATGAATTCTATTTAATTTAGAAAAATCTTTTGCTACCAGGACTCCCTGCAATGGTGTGCTTGTATGCGTCAATTGTGTAAATTACAAAGGGCACCATCGTGCATTAAATGATTAGACAGATCACGGACAACGAACCTAAAATCTGTGACAATCTCCTTTAGATTGAATCAACATTCCATTGATTCATGTGGGCAATCTATCTGTTTTCAATATAACGCTTGGCATAATATTTAGACCTTTAATCGTTCTTTTCATTCTTTTACATTTTTGTTGTAGAATCACTTGGCTAAAAAACACTATCAAACACTACTTTAAATGAGTTACGTATTCTCTGAATGTACGGTTTAGTAAAAAAAGACATTTATTTTCTATTTTTCCAGTCCATTATGTCATATAGACTTAATAAACTGCAGTAATGCATTTTTCTCATTTGACTCGAGCAAGAAACCTTTCGACGAACTTTTATCTCTTTATTCCTTCATTTGGCGCAATGTACATTGAACATCTTCCGATAAGCGACAATGCGAATAGTACACT